AAAAGGTCTGATGCATGAGATCTGACCCATCAGAAGTGCTCCAAAAGGGTTGGCAGATCAGTGAACAATGAATATATCCAGCCACGGAAGCCAGGGAAAGGTGGAAGGAAGGATAGACAGATTGTGCGAGGAAAGGATAGACAAAAAGAGTCCAGTGCATTCACAGCCACATCGACACCTCCGGTTTCCTTTCAATGATTTGGACACCATTTCTCGACCAATGGCTACGTGTCAGGTTGTGCTCAAGGCACTGAGGACATGGCTGCAAACCGAGCAGATGCATTTGCCACCTCCATGGAAACGTGTCCGGGGAGGAGACAGATGGCAATGACTGCACCAAGAAATACCTGTGCCAGGAGCGGAGCCAACCGACCCCAGGCGGCACTCCAGGGGGAGCCCTCTTGCTGTCTTGCTGGTCAAGGGGCCACCGTGTCACAAGGGACTTTCCAATGTCAATATTTTAAAGTTGTTTTTTTAAAGATTTTACTTATTTATTTATGAGAGAGAGAGAGCACAAGCAGGGGGAGCAGCAGAGAGAGAGCGAGAAGCAGACTCCCCACGGAGCAGGGAGCCCGACGCGGGGCTCGATCTCAGGACCCTGGGACCATGACCCGAGCCGAAGGCAGGTGCTTAACGACTGAGCCCCCCCAGGCGCCCCATCCAAGATCAATATTTTAACGTTATGGCTTTGAGAGACATCACTGTGAGCACAGTTCGAGTTTTCTCATTCAGCTATTTTTTATCTTTAGGTGACATTTACCGTGTTCCTGCATTCTTGGATATTGATACACCAACGGGTCCAAATATTTTCCGTTGGAACACAGGTCCACCTTGATGAGCAGAATTCACGTATGGAAATCAGCTTTCCGTGCCACTTGGTTGGCTGCTGGTGACTGTTACTTAAACATAGTCTCAGACCCACCTAAGGAAGTCTGGAGGAAGTTGAGCCTCCCTTAGTGTGGCTAGAGACAGGTAGTTTCCCAAATTCCAGGGGAAAGCTGCCGCACCCCACCTCAATCCAGTGTTTGTATGTGGACTGGGACCTACCTGGGAAGAGGCCATGGGGCCCGGCAATTCCCCTTCTGAAAGTGGATAGGTGTGAGATGTGTCTCCACGGATCTCCTCCCCTATATGATGTGGGAGAGGAGACTGGAAACAACCTAAATATCTGGCAGCAAGGAACAGACCGTAACTCAGGGTAGCCCACACAGATCCACCAGTGTCCAAGGGGGCGGTAAAATGGGTTTGATGTCCTGGGAGATGTTCACAGTAAGTGGGGGAAAGGAGAATACAATCCAAATGCTGGTTATTGCTTTTTTTTTTTTTTAAGGTACATATATATTTTTTAAAAGTCTGAGAAAGAAATTCACCTAAATAGAAACAGTAGCTCATAACGCAATCATAATGGTCCAGGTTTTAGACTTGCCCCTGTTGTGGTTTTCTGTATTCTCCAAAATTTCCATCCGCCAACAAATACAGCTTTTGCAATGAAAATGTTCAAGGGCGCCTGGGTGGCTCAGTTGGTTAAGCGACTGCCTTTGGCTCAGGTCATGATCCTGGGGTCCCGGGATGGAGTCCCGCATCGGGCTCCCTGCTCAGCGGGGAGTCGGCTTCTCCCTCTGACCCTTCCCCCTCTCGTGCTCTCTCATTCTCTATCTCTCAAACAAACAAACAAACAAATAAAATATTTAAAAGAAAATGGTCAAGCTCCACTTCACTGAGGCATAACTTAATATAAAATGCACCCTAATTTTAAGGGCACCATTCAATGAGTTTTGACAAATGTCACTGCCTGTTACTCATCACCTCAATCATGAAAAAGGACATTCCCCTCATCCCAGAAAGCTTGCTCTTGCCTCTTTCTGGTCAATCCCCACACCCATCTCCCGCCTTAGGCAACTACTGATGAGCTTTTTGTCCTAACAGACTAGATTTGTCTTTTTTTTTTAAGGGTTGCTACTGCATTTTAAAATAAGAACTAAACATGGCAAAGATAGCCAGAGTAGTCTTTAAATAAATAACAATAGCTACCCCTGCTATTATGCACCCACATATGCCATGAGATCTCTATAGAAGTATTTATCTCCCCATTGATAGAGATATCTCTGCTAATTCTCACATTAACTCATCTGGAGGTTAAAAGCATTCCTTTTGCTGTCTTACAAATAAGGAGGCTCAGAGAAGTCTTCCCTCCCACCCCATGGCCTCTGCCAATTTCTGGGCTAGTGGGGTGCCACTTTTTTAGGATGATCCTAGGAGGGGAAAAAATGGATTTTGAGGAAACGGAATGCTTTGGGGGAAATGATACATATTCTAGCAGATTCTAGCCAAAGTATTGGACTGACTCAGGCATCCCTGAGTTCCATTCTTGGCTTGGCCGGGTACCAGCGGCTGCCCCCAACCCAAGTATTCATAGTCCTTTCTGTCCTAGGCTTGTTTTGTCAGTTGTTACTTTTTGATGAAGATTTTTACCACCACCCAGAAGTTTCTGTAATTACAAAGAACTTCTCAACTGTGGCGCGGGGGCAGGGGATTTGGGATGGGGCTGAGGAGGTGCTTATGTATTTAAGAAGGCATGTTTGATATTGTAACGTAAATTTCTAGCCATAAAGTGAAAAGGAAAACAACTATTTTCATAATGCAAAGACTGGAAGTAAAGCGGAACAAGATTTTCATAGCTGCTGGGATGTGGGTTTAGAAACAACGAAAATCCCTTAGTGTGGATCTCATTTGTCACCATCAGGACCAACTCAGACAAGCTTGGGTTGAGAGAGGGTGACCCTGGGAAAAGGGTTTAGGGCAGTTCCGAAGATCCCAGCTGATATCAAATCCAGAGCAAAGCACCTGGGCCTGAGACCCATGGGGCCCTGCGGGGGCTGAGCAGAGCATTGAGGGTGACTGGAACTCTTGCTCCAATTGCCCCTCCACTCAGTGAATGAAATCTCACCAGGGTAAGTCACCTGGTTCAGCCAACACCAGAAGAATCCAGATCATCCCATCCCAGCATATCGCTGGCTGCAGGGGTGGGAGACTGCATTGGGTTCCTCCTGGGCATCGCTCACCTGGAGCGTTAGCCGCAGCGCCCCCTGCCGGCCAGCACCGCCTTTCCTCTGCCCCTCTAGTCTCCAACACACAGACCAAGGGGTACCAGCAGTCCTGCCCAGGCCCCTAGCTCAGGCAAGCTGGGTGCAAACACTTGCTGCCTATCTGGACAGCTCTGCATGCCTCAGTTTCCTGATCTGCAGCAGCATGGATTAATCACCCAGACTTTCAGAGCACCCTGTGACTATGAAATGCGTACGACCCTTAGTGGATGGCCGTCGCTCTGCATGAACTGTATCTGGTACCTTATGTCCACTCTCCCATGAGACCCCAGGACAAGACTCAAAGCAGGCATGAGGAGGCAACAGGCCCAGCAGGTCTATGACCTGCCCAGGGAGTGGCCAGGCATAGATCTGTGGTGGAGAGAATCTGACCAGGGAGCCCTCGCCCCTGCCTGGAGGCCACACCACCTCTCAGAGAGGAGGCACGGACTGGATTTACAAGCTTGATGGCCTAGGTTCCGATTCCACATCCACCACTTGCAGGATGGGTCCCACTGTGCTGGGGCCCTCGTTTCCTATCTGTTCAAGGAGGTGGGGACAGAATACCATGGAGGTTCTTAGAGGGGTTTAAGCTGAGAACACCCATAATGTGCTGAGAACAGGGCCTGGCCATAGGAAGCTGCAGCCTTTACCACCTTCCCGAGCTCCGTGGTCACAGCGGACTCTCTCCTGCCACTGTGGTCATGGGAGGGGCAGCAAAAGAGCAGGGGTGGGGCCAGAGGCAGAGGTTCCCCACCCCCAGACCCCATTCGGGGTGCATCCCCCAAGGCAGCTTCTGCCATCCGCCTCAGTGCCCCACATTTATCCAGGATCTTTAAAACGAAAGCTGCAGGGGAGGGTAATTAAGTTTAATAGGAGCCGCTGTCGATTTAAAGCCACAGGGGGGAAGTAATTAGATTTAACAGAAGCAGTGGCTTTCTGAACCAAGACACGCAGCGTGGGGGTCCTGGTCTATAAAGCCTTTGAGATGATGTCTTTTTGTAAAGCCTTTCCTGGTGACATTTTCTGCACGCTCGGTCATTAACGCCAGTCACTGACTGGGGTATGAACATGGCCTTTACTCATTGAAATTCATTAGGCCTGGCACTGATGTCTCTCCCCGGATCCGACTGCTTGCCCGCCCAACGCCTTTGCGCTGAGACAGCGTGGCTTTCCCCCCAAAACTGACCTCCTGGGGGCCCCCACACCGCACAGCTGGGGGGATTGGAGAAGAAATGAGAAAGAATCAGTGTTGAGCCGAAGATCCCTAGGAGGACCCTCTCCTTCCCGCCTGGGCATTCTCTGGATGCTTTTTCCCTTTTCTGGGCATCACTAGAGAAAGTCTGGTTTGCAGGAGCGACTTCACCAAGTGGCCCCAATTTCCAGGCCTGGCGCCCGCCCCCACCCCAAAAGCGCCCCTCACTGCCGCTCTGCCCCTCCCCGACCTCTCCTCCCCCAGTCCCCCAAGACATCGCGCCCTGGCCCGGGAGAAGAGCTCAGGGACCCAGGGACCGGACCAACGACAAAAGGCACTCAAACACAGAGGGGCTTCCCTGCGCTGCGCCTGGCCCGAGCTGAGAAGCCAGAGTTTCCCCGTCTGCAGAAGCAAGCCCACCTTGCCCCCGCCAAAGGCGCCTTCAGGACGACAGCCCATCCAGGCTCCAGCTCCGGGCACCGCCGCGCGCTCAAGCCGGCGCAGAGGCCGAAACCGGGGCGGAAGCGCCATCTAGCGCTCGCCGCGCGCCACTCCCCCATTGTTCCTCCCAGGACTCGAGCCCGGCCCCCCGTCGGGGGGCAATTTACCGGGGTAAAAGGGGCGGGAGGGGGGCCGGGATCGCGAGAACATAAGACCAGGAAAACGTGAGCTAGTCCGAGCGGCAGGGGGAAATTCTAATGGACGGCTTTGCATCTGGAGATATGACGGTTAGGACCGTCGTGGGAGGGAGTGGATGTGGGCTTTTAAGAAGACAGAGCCCCACACCCAAGGCGAAGCTTCTCCGGACAGGGGGTGAGGGATGCAAAGGTCAGTGCCCCAGTCTCTGGTCACGGGGTTCCTGCTCCCAGCTCCTGCTAGCGCCCCGCCACGAGCGCATTCCCTGGGGGAGTCGGTGGTGTGGGGGCGGGGACCGGTTGTCTCCTTTATTGCTTTATAAAATCAAACTCTCCCAGCCAAGAGAGACCTAGCCCCCGGCCCCTGCGCTGCGGGGAGGAGCTCCCCGAACCCTCCGGTGAAACGGGGCCTCCTCCCCCAGATCCGGGAGGCCTGGGCGGGGTCACCCGGGCGGGGTCCGGGGAGGGGCTGGGGCAGGAGGCGGGGTGTGAGTGGGTGTGTGCGGGGGGCGGAGGGCTGATGCAATCCTGATAAGAAATGCTCGGGTGTCGCGGGCACCCACCCGCCGGGAGGGTAAGACGCACTATATAAGGCCGCTGGCCTCCAGCCGTCTGCCGTCGGAGCAGGAGCGCTGAGCGCCCAGAGCGCACCGCCGGCTCGAGGGACGCATCCCGCCTCGGCACGCACAGCTCTGCTGCCACCCAGCCTCCCGCACCCTCGCCGCCAGAACTGCGTGCGGAGCCCGAGGGAGGTGCCATGCGGAGCGCGCTGAGCCGGTGCGCGGTAGCCCGCGCCGTGGTCCTAGCCGGCCTGTGGCTGGCCGCAGCCGGGCGCCCCCTAGCCTTCTCGGACGCGGGGCCGCACGTGCACTACGGCTGGGGTGAGCCCATCCGCCTACGGCACCTGTACACCGCCGGCCCCCACGGCCTCTCCAGCTGCTTCCTGCGCATCCGCGCCGACGGCGGGGTTGACTGCGCGCGGGGCCAGAGCGCGCACAGTGAGTGCCCACTCGTCCCGGTGCCCCTTCCCTTTACCTCCTTCAGGAACCCCACGTTTTGGCACCTCTGCGTTCTGTTCCCGGCCCGCGGCCCCTGACAGCGCGGGGAGCTGAGGGAGGGGGGCGCCGGCACGTGGACCCACCGCACCCACGCGTTATCCTTCCCTTGCCCCCTTCCCTTCCCGCGGACCCCCCACTCCCAGGAACCCCAGATCTTGGCACCTGGGCGACCCATTCCCTCCCCAGAGTCCTAGACGGCACAAGGAGATGGGGGAGTGGGGGAGGGCCTGGGCCTGCGCACCCACCGCATCCACGTGTTGTGGGCCCGGCGGGTCCCGGCTGCAGTCTTCTGCTTCTCTCGCGCCCAGGTCTGGTGGAGATCAGGGCAGTCGCTCTGCGGACCGTGGCCATCAAGGGCGTGCACAGCGTCCGGTACCTCTGCATGGGCGCCGACGGCAGGATGCAAGGGCTGGTAGGTATCTCCACCGGGGGATACGCGCTGGGGCGCGGGACCTATGCCTGTCCCCAGGCGGGGCCCCGCAGGGGAGCGGGGTGCGCAGGATCGAATCCAGGCTCTCCTCGCTTTCTGCCCCGGGTCCGGCATGGAGCTCGGAAGGGAAGAGGACGAAGGGCCAGATTAAGCTGAAGTGAGAATTTTTTTCTGTGGAAGTTTGTGGGTCCCGGCTAGTAGCCAGAGGGCGAGAGCTGCCTTTGCATATTTTCAATTGCGCCGAAGGCCGGCCCAGTGGGACGGAGGAAACGCTGTATTCGGCTTTCTTTGACATTAAACAGTGAAACCCACCACGGGCCTTTTCTGTCTCGGCCTGCGCGTGTGTGGTCCTCGCCTCCGTTCCCCTCCCTGCGGTATGAAATAAAAGGAAGGCACGAGAAAGTATATTCACAACTTGGATCTTTTTTACAAAAAGCCAATCTTCAAATAAGTCAGAAAAAATTACATTTGGGATGGGGGAGATTTTTTTTTTCTTAATTTTTATCCACTAGAAAAGCAGGGTGGTTTTGGCTGACACGTTAGAAGAATATTCCAGTGGCGTTTGCCCTCCTGTCGCGCTCACCTGCACTGCAGATGCTTTTGGGGGAGGGTGCTGGGGGGGGGGACGGGGTGGGAAGGCCCAGGTAACCATCGAGGTCTCGGGGCAGGAAGTGTGCGGAAACCGGGTCTCGGTCTCTGGGAACAAAAGACTGGGAGTTCAAAGGGAGCCCGCGCCCCTCCCGCGCCCCCGGGCTCACAGAGGAGGCGGTGTGAGGTCCCGGCCCCGCGCAGGGCCTCAATGCAGCCCTGCTGGGCCGGGGGCGCGGCGGGAGGGGCTGGGCGAGGGGGGGCGGGGAGACCGCGCCTCCTGGGATGGCCCCACCCGCCAGAAAAGATGCAGATGCCGGCCTCCCCCGCAGCGCGAATCTTTTTAGTGTCCCAGTTGTTTTGTGCCTCGGAGGCCAGTTTATCCCATTTTTCCAGAGGGCCTGTTTCAGGTTTTATGGCGGAGTCCTGCGTGAATGGACCAGAACGGAGGGAAAGAAAGGAGGTGGTCGGCTTTCTGAAAGCTGACACCCAAAGCCACTCCAAACCCGCAGTTGCAACTTTTGTTGTGACATTTACTTGGGGCGGGGGAGTAGGGCTGGAGGACCCGCTGGCGCAGATGGGTCTAAACCACCATTCTCGTCCAAGTTTTGTGGTGGGGGTGTCCCTTCCCCTAAAATCCTGTTCTGACTCTTGATCCCGTGTGTATGGCTTAGCCAAGACGGAGGATTTTTTTTTTTTTTTTTTAATAAATTCCACTTTCTCCAAACAACTCGAAATCATTTCCTTTTCGGTTTGGAGAAGAGAATGGGGTGCTAGTTTCTGCCAAAGACCCGGGAGAGTAAAATAGCGCCGCCATTTGCTTCCCCTTCCCTTGTTTATTTATCAGTTTGCATTCCACCCCCCCCCCCCCCCCCCCCCCCCCTGTCTGGTGGCTCTGTTTAAGTGCAGGGAGCTGGGCATGTTGTTGCCTCCCTAGACTTGAGCCTTATCAGTGCCTTATCAGCACAGCGCTCACCCACCTGCAGTTCAGCGACCTTTGTAGGCTTGGGCACAAACGGGACTGGGTGCCTCCCGGGGTTGTTTACCGCCCAGCACTCCTTGGCTCCCCACCCTCTGTGTCCTCACGGGGTAATGACCTTCCCCAGTTTGGCACAGGACTTGGCCCACTGGTATACCTCTCTGGCTCCCAGCGTCCTGGGACCCCAGGGGCTGCTCTCTGCCCTTTGGTTTGCATTTCCCGCCACCCCGCTGGGTGCAGGCTCTGTCCTGGGCCTGGGGGGAGGGGGCCGTCTTTATCTTGGTAATCCTGGCAGGCTGCCTGGAAGGCTCTCTGGCCACCAAAGGAAGGAAATTGCGGGGTGGGGGGGCGCGGCTGACGTTTCCTACAAGGGCACCAGACAAAAAGGCCTCAGAATGGCCCACCGTTACTTGGGTCTAAATGGGGAATAGATGCTTTAATCTGGGCTCCAGATTGGATTAGGAGAGCACACCTAGTTTAGCCGGGTCTCCCCAAGTGTGGCCACCAGGGGCTTTTTCATGTCAACAGTCCTGTGTTTACCGTAAGGGTGAGGGGTGCAGACACGTGTGTTGCACTTCTGATTTTATGCATCTGTTGCTCAGAACAAGACTAAATTTAAGAAGTGACATGATTTAGGGAGAGATATAAAAGATACACAGATATCTGTGTATAAAGGTTATAAATGTGTAAGCACATATATGTATACATTTATGTTAAAGTACGTGTAATGTGTCATGTTTAACATTAAATGTTGTAATTTATCGTATTTATATATGAGTATATGCTCAATGTGTATATTAATGTAATGCATACTTTACGTAGGTATGAATTTACACGGATAAGCACGTACTTTATATGTAACTATACACACGGGTACATAGGACCAATCATGTGGACCCAAGTGGGAGTATGTAGCTCAAATGCTCACCTGGTGGCCAGCGTCTCTGCTGCTTCTGGTGATGTCACCCCAGGGGGCTCCCACTGGTGCTCACGGCCACCCCTTTTCTCCCTAGCCTCAGTACTCTGCCGGAGACTGTGCTTTTGAGGAGGAGATCCGCCCCGACGGCTACAATGTGTACCGGTCTAAGAAGCACCGTCTCCCCGTCTCTCTGAGCAGTGCCAAACAGAGGCAGCTGTACAAGGACAGAGGCTTTCTGCCCCTGTCCCACTTCTTGCCCATGCTGCCCGGGAGCCCAGCAGAGCCCAGGGACCTCCAGGACCACGTGGAGTCTGATGGGTTTTCTGCCCCCCTAGAAACAGACAGCATGGACCCTTTTGGGATCGCCACCAAAATGGGACTAGTGAAGAGCCCCAGCTTCCAAAAATAAGTGGGGCTGTGGCCTCCCCTCCACCGCCCTTACAGGCCAGGACCCCAGACCTGTGGTGCTTGCAAAGTGGGTTCTGGCTGTGCTTCTACAGTACAATCCTGGGCTTGCGCTCCGGGTAGCTTTAGGAAGAAACATCTAGAACTTGTACATATACAGAGTTGTACATTGGCTGCGCCAGTTCCTAGTGGATAGACATGTATGATCTTGAAACCGTAAGCCTTCCACCCCGCACCTTTGCCATTGCTGGACAGTTTGCTGTGCTGCCCTGATTCCGCTTGAATACCTCCACTGACCGGGAACTCACTACCTTTGGGAAAGTTCTTATGCCAAGCTGAAACGTTCTGCAGTTCTCTCTCCCGTCATTTCCAGCAGGGGCAGCCAGAAGAAAAGCGGTCGTTTTAAACTCACGTACAGGTGATCAGCTTTGTGAAACCTTAGGTAAATTTGACTCTACCACATGAGAATTGATCGAGGTCTCCACTCCAGAGAGGATCGTTGGTTCTCCCCCAACCCCTCCAGGACAGAACTGACCGGGCACAGGCATGGCCCACCAGGCTTCAGGAACAGGGAGAGCCCAGAGGCCTCCTCCAGCCTGGGTAAACCTTAAGAACTGCCCGCTGCGGCTGCTTCTGGGACAGATGACCTTCACCAGACTACTTGGCAGTCTGCCCAGGGTCCATTGGGAATTCACTTGCTCCTCCCCTTGACTTCCAGCGCCCTGCACATAGCCAACACTTAACAGGGCTCACTGGTTCCCCTGAGTGAACGACCACCTGCTTGGGGGGGGGGGGACAGGATGCGAGGACAGCCCCAGCAGCCCTCCTTCCGCGGGATCCCATCTGCTCTGGGCATGTGGGTTTCACACTTGAGCGCCCCTCTGGACAGAACCCCGCGGGCCCCCCCCTCCCGGGTCTCCCGCACAGTGCTGCGGCTCTGGTGCGCTCCCTCCTTTCTCCAGCGCTGTGGATATGGACCAGAGAGGAGCAGACATGGCTTCTGGGGCTGTTTCCATGTTCCCAGCCCTTTGCGGGGCGGCAGGACTTGGCAGCCTCTCGCCTTAGGTAGACCTGCTCATCGCGTTCAAAAGCCAGGAAAGGTTGGATTGGGAAGCCCCCGGTCTTGCCAGTAACTTGCAGAAGCAGTGGGGAGAGGAGCCCTTCCCAGCACTTAGTTGCCAACGTGGTATTTATGCATAATTTATTTTGTTGGATATGTACATCTCTCTATTTTCTTACTTTATTTATACCCCCACCAAGTTGTATTTATGATGTACGTGAGTTTTGTTTTCTACATTAAAGCACACTTTGTACCAAAAGTGGCATTTCGTTATCCAGCTGGATGCCTGTGAGGGAGAGCGGGAAGGGAGGGAGACCCGGGCGCTGAGCTCAAGAGGAGACGCTTCGGGTGTTTGCTGCATTTAAAATGGAAATTTCTACCAAAGCTCCTGGTCGTTGCAACGAGCCCCCAAGCTGAGGCTCAGGTGGGTCGAATACTAGATGAGGTTAACCCAGTGGGGAGGCTGCTTGGGCCTGGGTGCCGGCTTCCTCCTATCACCTCTGCTGGGAAGGAGTCTGCGTGGTGAGGGCAGCCACGGCGTAGGTGTGTGGCAGGCACAAGAAACAGACTCCAACTAGTGTGGCCTCTGCGTATTGACGTAGCTCTTTGCTGGGAGCAGGTGTTCCTGAGTGAGCTGGGATGATGAACAGCGACCCCGGTCTCTCCTCCGCCAGCTAGATACCGGTGGTAACCAGTCATTACGGCTGCTAAAAATTGCGAAAGAAGTTGCTGCACGTCCTAGGGCAAAATTCTCCAACCAGCTGTTCATTCTGGAGCAAATCATCCACTTCTCTGAGCCTCTGTGTCCTCGCCTGTAAGGCTGGGGCAAGGGTGGAGAGAGCAGTGAGGGGTGGAGCCGTCACTTGAGTAAAGGGAGTAAGTCAAGTCACCGCATGAGTCTGCGTCCTCATGTGGACGGTGAGATGAACAAGGTGTGCATTGCAGGACCGTTGGGAGAATCGCATGGAATTCTGTCTGTGAGATGCCTGGTACAGAGCGCGCCGGGACTAGAACTCATGGCCCAGAACAGTTATTTCTGCCGGTTCTTAAATTCGGTTGCACAGTAGAATCACCTAGGGAAAAATCCAGTCGCTAGGCCACGTCCCCAGAGATCAGGTCTAATTGGAATGGGTGTGGTCTGGGCATTTAAGATTTTGTGAAGCTCCCTGTGATTCAAATGTGGAGCCCAGGTTCACAGCCACAGGAAAACCGTTTACATGTGATCTTCTCTGTCCTGGAGACAAACACTTCAGGGGAAAATGAAGTGGAGCGTCCTCCCCACAGCACAGCTGACAATAATGAGTAAATGTACATCTTTGTGAGCTAATTCACACTAGAGTGTTGATGGTTAATATATTTTCACTCTGGGTCACGTTTTCACTTGACCTGGCAGCCAAAAAGCTGTGATGACTGTTTCTCTGGCTGACATGGGCGCTCTGGCAGGAGAGGGGGAAGACTATTCTTCAAGGCCGCACCTTACATTCACCCCCCTGACCTGCCTCTGCTCCTCATAGGAAGGTGGCCTTGCCCTGTTGTGGCATCTCCCTTCCCTGCCTTAGACAGTTGTCAAGTCTAGCAAATAAAAACACGGCATGCCCAGTTAAATTTGAATTTCGGATAAGCAACACACTTTTTAGTAGAAGTCTGTCCCATGCAATATGAGACATACTTATGCTCAGAAATTATTCATTGTTCATCTGAAATTCAAACTTAACCAGGTGTCCTGTATTTTGTCTGGCAGCCCTACCTTTAGATCCACGGCACTGACATGGGGTCAAATAACGAGAAAGTAAGTACCCGGGGCAGAAAGTGGCTCAATTGGATAAGCCTGTCCAGTGGTGAGATCCCAGAAGCAGAATGCAAAAGAATTCTTTCTTTGGGCTGTTTCTCCACCTGTGATGTGAGAATCCTTACCCTGCCTCAAGGCTGTTATCCTGGGGGGGTGGTTCACCTTCCTGAAAGGCCGGGCGTGCCTGGCTTCCGGCATGCTGTGGAAATGGGGGTGGCTGGACAGCACCAGCATCTCTCTGTCTCTCTGTGTCTTCTCCCCTCGAAATGACAGGGTGGTCCCCGAAATGACAGGTGGTCCCCGGCAGCTGCAGCTTCTCTTCCATCCTCCTGCAGCCTCACCAGGGGTGACAGACGGTCCTTTCCCACCAAAGGCTCCTACAAGGGTCCCAGAACCCTTCTCCTGTCCCAAGTTAATTCCCCACCGGATTCTGGCAGGCGGGGGGGGGGGGGGGGGGGGGGGGGGAGGCCGGGATGTTCTGATTGGCCAGGCCTGGGTCACCCCTTCCATGCTGGGAGGGGTCAGCCCAGGACAGCTCAGGGATTGAGAGCAGGGTGCTTCCCCAGAGGAAAACCCCAGAGGGGACAGAATTCTCCCGAAATGCCTACATTTGTCGATTCACCATCCAGCACGCTAAATTGGGTGAGCTTCCATCTTCTGGATCAGGAAACCCCACCTAGAAATGATCCAAAAGACAGAGAAGTGTAAGGGGGTGGTGGGCATAAGGCCTCCCTGGACCCAGAAATTGGTCATCCAGTTAGAGAGGGCAGGAGAACAGCGGCCCCTGCCTTGGGTTCAGGGCGCTATCAAGGTCATGAGAAGGGAGTCTCAATTAGGGGATGGGAGGAGGAGAGAAGGGGTATCTTTTGCAACTAGGAGCAGAGGGAGAAAGACGCAGAGACAGACAAGAGATACATTAAGCACCCCATCACATATTGTTACAATTTTTGCCTCAACTGTCAGATATGATCTCAAAACGCCCATGAGAAGGATCATCTAAAGATTTACTCCTGGTTTTCCCAGTCCAATGCTCTGTTCCTTCCTGAAGTCCCAAGCCCTTTTCTGTTATAATTTCTTTGTCTTCAGAGAACTTCCTTTTGTCACCCTTGAGAGGCAGGGTGGCTGGCAACACGTTCTCCTTGCTCTCCCTCGGCCCGAGAACGGCTGTATTTCTCCTTCCTTCCTGCCCGTCCGGTCTGCAGAGGGAGACAAAACTCCTGTCTGTCTCTGGATGGTCTGTTAGTGGCCAGACAGAGAAGGTGCACCTCATTCCCAGGGCCACGGGGGGCCACGGGGGTTACCCAGCACTGGGCTGCAGGTCCCTGGGAAGCTCCACCTGCCACAGGGTGTAGCACAGAATGGGGGAAAGGGGGAGCCTGGGAGGAGTCCTCGCCTGCCCCACCTCTCACCCCGGAGGCAGGACCCCTTGGCCTTTTGGGGGCCTCTACCTTCCAGCCCGTTGAATGGGGAGGGGTCCTTGCATTCTGTGTGAGTTTCCTTTCAAAGGGGTGTGTATTTAATCACACTAATGCCAATGTGTGAGTTATTCTCCTTGTGAAAAAGCCACAAGAGATGAAGTCCCTCCCAGCCTACCCTGTCCCCATCCCCATGGGCTGTGTGTGTGTTGCCACATACTTGAGAGCCTCTGTGGTTCCAGGTGCCGCATACGCCCCTCTGCACACTTCTGCCCTTGCCGCCCTCACCTCCTGCCTCCCCGTCGACCTTCTGGCTTCCGCTCTGCTCCCTGGCCTCTTCACGGCTTCTCCGTGCTGACAACTCACCGTGGGCTCCTTGGTCTCCACAGCCTGGACCCATCCTGTCTGTCTCTTGATCCAGTCTTTCCCAGCCACACCAGCTAAGCTAGCCCGCCTCGCCTGGCACAGGATCCCATCCCCAGGGGACAGCGCTCAGCACCTCGGCCTGTCCCGTCCGAGGCCCTGGGTTGCCACTCCGTCGCCTCTTCCCAGCAGCGCTCCCCAAACATCCTGTGTTCAGTGCTCGCTTCGGCAGCACATATACCAAACATCCTGTGTTCATTTCTTAGGGCTCCCATCACAAATTACAAAGAACCGGGAAGCTTAAAACAAGAAAAAATTAATTCTGTCTGGAGTCCGGAAGTCCAAAATCAAGGTGTAGGCAGGGCCTCACTCCCTCCAGAGCCGTTAGGAGAGGATCCTTCCTGCCTCCTCCAGCTTCTGGGGGTGCCCAGGCATCCCTAGGCTATGGCTGCAGCCCTCCAGCATCTACCTCTGTCTTCATGTGGCCCCTCTGTGTGTCTGTTTTTCTGCGTTATAACATGACACCTGTCACTGGATGTAGGGCCCAGGTAGGTAATCCAGGATGACCTCGTCGCAAGAGCCTTACTTCTGCAAAGCTACTTTTCCCAACTAAGGTCACATTCCCTAGTTCTGGGGGTTAAGACTTGGACACATCTTCTT